ATTTAAAAAAAAAAAACGTTTTTTAAAGCAATTAAAAAATATATAATAGGAATACAAGTTAAAAAAAAATTTTAATAATAATAATAATAATAATAATAATAATAATAATAATAATAATAATGATTTACCGAGTTAGAAAATGAATAAGAAAAAAAAAAATTTTAAATTACACGCGGAGAAGAAAAAAAAAAGAGGAAAAGGAAGAAGAAAGCAATCTTGTCATTAGACATGGTCAACCCCATATCAAATTGCAGTAGGCTCCAGTCGGCACATTTTTTTCCATGAGTTTCTTTTTATTTCCATTCGCATTTAGTTAATAATAATAATAATAATAATAATAATGATAATAATCCGCGTAAATTTTTTTCTTTTGTTCGATTTCTTTGTTTTTTTTTTTTTTAAATTTTTTCATTAGAGCGTTTTTTAAAATTTAAATTTAAATTATTCACACACGCGCACGCACTCACGCACACACGCAAGTTTGATCTCTCGTAGAACGTTTAGAATAAAAAAAAAAAAAAAAAAAAATTTCGTTTCAATATAAGTTTTGAAAATTTTCAAATGAAAGATTATGGTTAGGGTTAAAGGTCAATGTGCGTTGTATTTTTTTTTCGTAAAAAAAAAAAAAAAAAAATATAAGATTGTGTTGGATTTCTTTTCTTTTTTCTTTTGGCATCATTAATTCATTTTATTGAATGTTGAAAATATTTAAATAAATTTTCCTTTTGTGTTTAAATGAGAGATTTTCTTCTTTCTTTCGCATGGGAAAATTATATTAGAGATTTTTGCGAAACGGTTATAACGAATTTTTACATACAAATTTGTGTCTATATTTGTTTAATATCGAGTCAATAATAATAATAATAATAATAATAATTTTCTATTCAAATTTTAACGTGTTTTGAATTTATTTATTAAAAACAGCAAATAATAAAAGAGAAATTTTTCTTTTGTAACTTCAAACGCTGAAAAATATCGAAATAATAATAATAATAATAATATTTTAAAATCCCACCATGTAAATGATGTATGTTTGCATTATATTGTTGTTGTTATATTTGTTTGTTGTTGCATTATATTGTTTGTTGTTTATAGTGTTGTTGTTATGTTTTTAAATTAATTTCAAAAATTAAATTTTAAAGTTCGCCTACAAATTTTTAATTATGCATTTTATAGGTGGTTTTAAAACAACGTGAAATAACACTCTCGTTAAAACAACAAATCGTACTTTCACGTCGCGAAGCCCCTTATATTTTTTGATTAGTTTTTTTGCCATGCAATACTTTTGTTTGTGTTGCGTGTACGTGAAATCGCAGTCGAATAAAAAAAAAAAAAAAAAAAAAAAATGGCGAAACACTAACAAAAAAAATTATTTATTTCGTTACGACGTTAAAACTTTTATTTAATAATAATTTTTTTCGCTGAGATTTAGCTACGCAATTGCACGTGCATAAAAAAACTAATTAATTATTAATAATAATGCTTTTTGATGATAATAATAATTAATTAGTTTACGGTTAATTAAAATTAATTAATTATTCCACCTGTTTTCTTATTAGTTATATAACGTGCGATGCGGCAATGTATCACAAATTGCATAAACGCATTTTTTAAGGGTTATTTCGTTTATGTTACAGATGTAAAGAGAAAAAAAATTTTTTTCTCTTGGATGAATTCTTGGAGGTTCATGAACTCGACCTTGATACCTTAGATAGAAAAAGAAAGATTGATTATTATGTGGATTCTCGTAAAAAAAAAAAAAAAAAGCCGGTCTCGAAAACGTCTGAATCATGTGTTGATCGGAGGCTTTCAAAAAAAAAAAAGTAATCACGTCTTTGGTAAGTTTTAGTAAAAAATTTGTTCCCGCTCCCTTAGGCGTGACTAAATCAGGTTCGGACTCGAACCTGTAATTAGCATGTCAACAAAGAATAAACAGTATAAACTAGAATCGTGATGAGATTTCTTCTCTAACTTATTATTTTATTTTTTCTCGTTTCGTACATACATATATCTTTGATTTTATTGAGTAATAAGTTACGATCTAAAAAAATTTTTTTTTTTTTCTTTTTCCATACTTTTCTTTGTTTTTTTTTTTTTTTTCTCCATGGACATTTTAAAACTCGTTACGTTTTTATTTATTGTAACTGGAATCGTTTAAGTGTTTTTTTTTTTTTTCCTTTATTTTATGGAATTTTTTTTTTTTTTTTTTTTTTCGTTTTTTACGAGGTTAAAAATTGTTTTGTCTGGTTTTTTTACGACTGTAAAAAATTTTTCCCTTTATTGAAACGCCATTAATTTATGTTTGTTTTGCTTTTTTTTTTATTTTTAAAAATTTAAATTTATTAATTACGTTAGTTATCATCGACTCTTGCTTTTCTTTTTTTTTTTTTTTTTTTTGTCGTGGGGAATAAATTTCAATTTAATTTAAATTCAAAACGATACGCGAAAAAAACTAATTCAAAATGGCCGAAGGGGTTTTATATTATTATTAAAATTAGTAAACGTTATCGAAACCGTTTTTTAAAAATCAAAATATCAGAAAATTATTTGCTTGAGGATATCATTTTCGTCGAAATAAATATTTACGCGACGTTAAAAACAAACCCCTTTTATTACAAGGGTTGTTTGTTATTCGATACAAAACAAACAAGAAACCAAAAAGTCGCACACACGCACGCGCACGCGAAACGTATAATTTAAAAAAAAAAAATTTAATTTAAATTTGTTTAAACAAACAATTAATTAATCAATCGACAAGTTTCTGAAAAAAAAATCAAACACACGAATAAATTTTAAATAACAAACGATCGTTATAACAACGTACACGCACACACGCACGCACGCACGCACGTACTCGTAAAAACGCAATATCAGGTATAAAAAATTCTTTATTCAAGTTCAAGACAAATAAAAATCATCGACTATAAGAAAATAAAAATTTTTTTATGGCCTTAGGCCAACGAGAAATGTTTAGAAAAAAAAAAAAAAAAATATTTAAATGAATTCTAGATGAATAATTGGTAAAGTTTTCTACTAGAGAGAGTTTTTATAATTGACGTGGCACTAGTGAAATCAATAACGTAAACAATTGACCCGAAGGGTAAAAAAAATGTTAAATAAACTAATAAATGGTTTCAATTTGGGGATTTTTCGTCAAGGGTGTGTTGTCTATAACGAAAATACCGCGTAAATGTCTCTCCTCCCATATCGAAAATAATCGATTAATCGATCGATCGATCGAACGATGTTAACGATTAACACAAAAAAAAAAGAAATTTTACGGTTCGGATACGTTTATATCAATTCCACGTGTAATTAAAAGTACAGATAATGATAATAATTGTAGGAATATTTTTCGGAAAGAAAATTAATTTTTTTTTTGTTTGTTTCTTGTTTGTTTGTTTGTTTGTTTGTTCGACAGCCAGTCATTATTATCATCGCGAACAAACCGGATGCGGTTTGTTTAATTAATAATTTATTTAATTTAAACGGTTAAACACGTTAGCGTGACACATTTTAAAAAAAAAAAAAAGGTTTCACGTAATTTGTTATTATTAAAAAAAAAAAGCTTATTACGGAGAATTAAATAATTTTATTTTTAATTAACCGTATAAAAAATTTATTTAACAAACAAACAAACAAACGAACGAACAAACGGTTAAATGCCGTGAACGTTTTAATAGTTACAATACGATTTAGAAAAAAAAAAAAAAAAAAAAAATGATTATTTTACGCGTAAATTATTCTCATACACGGGATATTAAACGCGTTGAAAAGTTTAACTATTTTTTTTTTTTATTTATTTACGTTATTTACAACCTGAAAAAAAAAAATAAAAAACCTATGAAATCAAGGTTTTACTTCGTATTTATGGGGGGGGGATATTTTTTTTTTTTACTGAACAAACAAATTTTTTTTTTGTAATTAGCTTCGTGTGGTTGTCGTACTCCATTACAAAATACGTTTGAAATTGTTTTAATCGTGTGTGTAAGAGAGAGAGAAAGAGAGAAATTTGTATAGATTGAATGAAAACTATTTAAAATTTTGTTTCTATCTCTCTCTCTCTCTCACTCTTTTTCCAGAATTTTTCTAGTATTTCCAGATGATAGTTTTTAAATTGTAACAAAAATCGTAAGAAAATGGTAGTTAATGATAATGTTTGTTTTCTTTCATCATGGATAGTTATAGAAATTTTTATGTAACGTAATTGGGTAATTTTGTTTTCCATCTGCGTTTCCGAATGAAATGAAAATTATTTTCTCACGGATTTATTTTTTATAAAAAAAATTGTTTGAAAACTTTTCCAACGAAACCAATTCTCGCGCGAGAAATGTTTTCAAAAAAGCGCTCGTTGTTAAACGTTTTCAAAAAAAAAAAAAAAAAAAAAAGGTTGTTATTTTAAAGGGTCTTTTGATAGTTAGAAATGACCGAAAAATTATTCTGAAGTTAAATTAATAATTGTCGAATAATAATTATCTTCCGACGATGATGTAAAAAAAAAGAAAAGGAACAATAAAAATAAATATGGAGGTGATTATTCTAACGAGATTCTCGTTACCGAGTTTGATGAGGTGACGTCACGAAGTGGGGCGACCATGCGCCCCACTTGGCACCTTATGAAACTAAATGAATCCGACTGGAGTGGCAGTAAACGAGTTCTTGTTAGTAAGACTCCAACTTAAGGGCAATGTGTGGGCCCCCATTCTCGCTCCGATTGCCCATTCACACAATGTTCACTCTCTTTAGATAAAGTCAAAAAATCTTTTTTAGTGTGTTTTTTTCGGGTCGAGTTTTTGTTTTTTTTTTATTATTATTATTCGTGTTTAAAATTTACGATGATTGTTTGTCGTTTGCCGTACGAGAAATTACGAAAAACTTAATAATAATAATAATTGTGCGTTTTGTAAGTCCTGGAAAGAAAAAAAAAAATTTCGGGCGAAATGGCGGTTCGACATTATTCGTTGTTTTTGTTTTTATTACAATCGTTTTTAATTTTTGTTATGGGTAATGATCAAAATTTAAGAACTTGCGAACCCATTCGCGTTGAACTCTGTAGAGGATTAGGATATAATATGACGGGAATGCCAAATTTAGTGGGTCACGATCTTCAAGGAGATGCGGATTTTACACTACAAACATTTTCACCCTTGATTCAATACGGATGCAGTGGACAGTTGCATTTTTTTTTATGTTCGGTTTACGTACCCATGTGCACGGAAAAAGTTGCAACTCCTATCGGACCCTGTAGGGGTTTGTGCGAATCCGTACGATCGAGATGTTTTCCCGTGCTGCAGGGTTTCGGTTTTCCATGGCCGGCAGCATTGGACTGTTCAAAATTTCCGCAAGAGAATAATCACGAGCACATGTGCATGGAAGGTCCCGGAGAGAAAGATATGGAAATAAATAACGCTGTTGCTCCGACTCAACCCTCTCCACGGAATTCTCTCACGTCGAGGAATAACGTACACGTTGCTCCCTGCGCAAAATATTCAAAATCGAATCTTTACGTTTACGTTAATCGAAGTGGTAGATGTGCGCCGCTCTGCGATAAGGACGTGCTTTTTACCGCCAACGATAAAAAACTAGCAGAAGTTTGGCTTTCCGTATCTGCAGCATTGTGCTTTCTGTCGTCACTCCTTGCCGTTTTCACATTCTTAGTCGATTCCGGAGGCGGACGATTTCGATATCCAGAGCGACCGTTAGTTTTTCTCGCTCTGTGTTATAACTTAGCCAGTGTCGGATGGGGAGTTCGTGCCGCAGCTGGAAGAAATGCAGTTGCCTGTCATCCAGATCCGAATTACACGTCGCAGCTGCTTTTATCTCAAGACGGCCTTGGAAATGCAAATTGCGCTGTCGTATTTTTGCTGTTGTACTATTTCGGAAACGCAGCCTCTGTATGGTGAGTCTAACATTTTCGTGAAACAATTCAATGTATTTTTTTATTATCCAATTTTTTTTCGAGAAAGTTCTTCTTTCGAAAAAGAAATACGATCGTATACGGGGGTATAGAATTGTCAACCGTTTCAAGGGATCAGACTTCTATTTAGATTGTCACGCATATGTCTAAACAAAACAAAGAATTTGTATTAAAATGTTTTGACTGACTTTAAATGATTTATATCATCACTGACCTTTTTTTTTTTTCTTATTCTTCTTCTTCTAAACTGTTGAGTATTATAAAATTTTTATTTTGTATTCCCTTGCGAACCATTTTATTTAAGAAAAACATTAGGGTTGTAATAAAAAACCCTCTCGAATGCGCAACAGGTGGCATTCAATGTTAAGTCACCAACACCAGCCTTGGGGAAGTTGATGCAAGTGCACTCACGATTGATTATCTCACGATGAGTTTTTCTTTTTAAAACGGGAAGGGGGGAAGGGGGGGATCCCAACAGTGATTACCGTGTTGCATCCTTTATCTCTCTCTCTCTCTCTCACTCCTTTCTCGTTTGTGTGTTTGTTACCAGATAGAGAAAGTTAACTACCACCGATTGTTTCCAACCGCGATTGGTTCCGTTATTTCTTTTAAATAAGAACAAAGGAAAACACTTAAAACTATCGAATCCAATCATTATTATTATTATTATTATTATTATTATTCTGTCACTTATCGAGAATTTATTTTAATAAGAAATGAAAAAAAGAAAAGGAAATTCTCATCCGATAAATAAAAATAAATTTAAAATCGATTATATATTAATAGGAAAAGGAAAAAAAAATCATTATTATTCTTGCTTATTCGTGCATGCATGCTCTACTCGCTAGTTCATTATTATTATTATTATTATTATTATTATTATTATCACAATCATTATTTTTAAATGGATTGAGGGAAATAATGATGATGAAAAGCGAACAATGAATAAATGGTATTTAAATAAAGAACGTCATAGAAATCATATTTATTTAAATATAATTTTTGACGTTGTAATAACGAACGACAAAATCACAGTTTGACGTGCTTTATTATTATTATTATTATTATTTTTTTTTTTGTATTTACCCCTCGTATTAATGATGATGATGATGATGATGATAATAATTCCGTATATTGTAGACGAATGAAAAAAATGGAAAAAATTTTTTTTTTTTTTCGATTGGGATTTTTAAACAAACGAAATATTCGATTTAAGATTTTACTCGTTAAAATATTTTTTTTTTTTTTTTTTTTTTTGGTTTTAAAACTAAAGACTAAAATTAGTTTTTGAGAAAAAACTAAAAATTAAAATCATTAGTACTTTCTACTTAGGGAAAAAAAAAAAAAAAATTTTTTTTTAGTAAATTGAATTCGGTAATTGACTACAATCAATTTTTTTTAAAAAGAAGTAACACTTTCGAATTTTTTTTTTTTGTTGGTTGTTATCGTTGCGAACAACGTTAAGTTAAAATCGGACAAACGAGGGGGTAGGTGGGGTGGGAGGGAGGAGAGAGCAAGGGAGGAAAATTTTTTATAACTCGTTAGTAAGTGACCTGTTGACGTAATTACGTTGTTGTTGTTGTTGTTGTTTGTTGTTATTGTTTTTAAATTTTTTTAATTTTGTTACCTTTCACTCAACGTTTAATCAATTTATCGAAATTTATTAAAGTGAAGGTAAAAAAATTAATAATAATAATAATAATAATAATAATAATAATAATAATAATAATAATGATAAATAGTTTTATAGAATTGAATTCAATTGTCGAGTTTTTTAAGAATCAAATTTTATTATTATTATTATTATTATTATTATTATTATTATTATTATTATTATTATTATTATTATTATCGTTACTAAATTTTAAATTGCCACGTGGGGGGAGAAGGGATTAAATTAAATTTAAACTAATTAGTGATATAAAACAGACGACACACTCCCCCCCCTCTATAATTTTAATTTATTTTATTTAATGAGTTTCCATATTAAAAAAATGTGGGGGAATGAGGGGGGCAGAACGAAAAAAGATTCCAGGCTCGAAATCGTCCGGGGGGAGGGGGGAATCGTGGAATAAAATTTACCGAATTCGTTTCCGTTAAAAATAAAGGGGGGCGTCGGGTACATAATTGTCGCTGGTACAAAAAAATCGGACTCGATTTTTAAAGGGGGGGAAGGGTATCATCACATTCATTTTATAATTAAATTGATAAGACGAGGGGGGGTTTCGAATTAATTTAAAAAAAAAAAAATTTTACGTTATCCAACAAACCGAAAAATTAACTTTTACTTATATTATTATCATTATTATTATCACCTTGCTAATTTGGTGTAAATGTCAGGTACGAAATGGTGAATATTAATTTATTCAAAACGTATAATACCTCGAAGGTACATACATATTTCGAATTATGTCGCTCCGGAAATAAGCAGAAGGAAAAAAAAAAAATATTTACGACGAATTGATTGATTTTAATCGGGTGGTAAATAGAAACGAGTTAAAATCAATAAAAAAAAATAAAAAAAAATCGATTTCGTTCATTGAAACTTTAAACAAGGAATCACGAAGAATAGAGAAATTCGAGAGATGGGGGGAAGGAAGGAGGGGGGATTTCGATAGATCGATCGATCGATTCATCGAATTTTTTAAATTTTTCGAATTGATTTGAAAAGGAAAAACGTATAACGTACATTATAATTTTTTTCGGTTTTTTTTTTTTTTGGGGGGGGTTTTTCGGTTTTTTTTTAGGTTTGTCGCAACGTATCAAAGGATTTTATTATTATTATTATTATCATCATTATTATTATTTTACGCGAGTTTCGTTGTTTTTTTTTTTTTTTTTTTTTTTTTTGTTTTCCACGAATATAAATTTTGTATGTTTAACCACCAAAAAAAATAAAAAATAATTTATAACTTTTTTTTTTTTTTTAAAAGACTCGTTTTACGAAAGTAATAATAATAATAATGATAATGATAATAATGATAAAGTGCTCTTTAAACGCGTACAAACTTAATCACGACAAACAAGACTCGAAAAAAATTTTTTTTTTTTTTTTATTTAATTTCTAAATAAATTATTACACGTAATTAATTATTCTTTTGTTTACCGTAAGAATAAATCGTGGGGAGAGTAGGGAGGAGAGGGGAAAACGGATTTGTTTGTTTACATTTTACGTCGTCTTCTGCTTTTTTTTTTTTTTTTTTTTCGTTTTTTCGGCGTGAAAAGAAAAAAGATTTTTTTTTTTTTGCCGAAAGATTTGATTAAAGTTTAAAATTTATTCCCCGGGTATATAATCTTATCATTGTTTTTTTTTTTTTTGCTGTTGTTTACCGATACCTGACAGGTATTTAAATAACGTTTCCGTTTAATTATTTACCGCGAATTTGTTTTGCTTCCGAAAAAAAAATTTAAATTTTCCCGAAAAGAAAAAAAAAAAAAAAAAATTTATTTAATCGCATCTTTTTGTAAAAGTTGTTTATGTTTGTCGAGTGTTTAGCTTTAAGGTATTAGTTGTGGGCGGGTATCAAAAACAAAACAAAAAAAACCGTCTTGTTAACGTAAAAAAAAAAAAAAAAAAAAAAACGTTTTTTACCTTGGAAATTTAGTAATAATAATTTACGGCGATGATAGGTTGGTTCGCTTTTGTTTTTTCCATTTGTTGCAAACTTTTTTTTTTTTTAATATTTTGTTATTGACCTTAAATGGAAAACGAGATTCCATTTTGTTTTTTTTTTTTTTTTTGGAAAAAGTAGTAGCGAAAGCCGAGTAGAAAAAGGGGGGGAAAAAATCTGCTTGACAGGTTATGACTCGAGGAAGATAAATTAGAAACATCTTTGGTTGTTGTTCTTTCTCTCTCTTTCTCTCTTTCCCTCTCTCTCTCTCTCTCTCTCTCTCTCTCTCTCTTTCATTCGTATCGATGATTTACATTATAAAATGAAATTTTTATTAATCGTTTAAAATTAAATTCCATAATATAAATAAACAAATAAATTGGGCAACAACGTCGTGATTAACTTTAGTGTAACGGAAGAAAAAAAACATAAATCTGGCAACGTTTACTTTCCAGTTCCTCCAGGGGGCTTCTTGCATGTTAGATAACAAGGTAGTTGAATTTTCTGGATTCGATCTTTCAATGGAGGCGGCAGGTATTCGAACCATTCGTGAAGAAGAATGGTTGTTGTTGTTGTTAACGTTCTAGAGTTGTTTGTTGTTCGTTTTTTTTTCTTCTTAATTTTCTCTCTCTCTCTCTCTCTCTCTCTCTCTTCCTCTTCCTCTCGTTGATAAATTTTTATTTTCGCTGATAATATTTTCTCATTTCCTACTGATGATGCTGCTGCTTATTTAATTCAATTTTTTTCTGCCAATTAAAAAAAAAAAAAAATTATGATTATTATTATTATTATTATTATTATTATTATTATTATTATTATCATCATCATCATCAGACGACTCGTTTGATGAAAAATTCCATTTAAAAATAATAATAATAATAATGATAATTTTTTTTTCTCTCATTTATTACCGAGTAATAACGATATGATAATTTATCGGTAATAAGTGATTAGAAAAATTATTTAAACGGTTAATAAATAATAATAATAATAATAATAATAATAATAATAATAATTTTTCTTTTATTCTCGTCTCGTTATGCTGTTGTTGTTGTTGTTGTTGTTGTCTTGTTTGTTTGTTCGTTTTCAATGAAAATAAAACAATGCAGGGAAAAAATAATAATGATGATACTAATAATAAAAGTATAAAGAATTTCATTCACGGGTAAAATAAATAAAAAAAAAATAATAATAATGATAATAAATTACCGTTTCGTGTTTTTAAATTTCTTCGCTAACGACGATGGTCATAATGCTGGTTGGTGGTTGTTGTTTGTTGGTTGTTTCCTATTAAAAAAAATATATATATATTAAAATGCCACGGATGTAATGGTAGAAAAAAAAAATAAAAAAAAATTTTTTTTTTATTAT